AATATAATTTAATAATTAGAAATAAGTTTCTTTAATCTAAATAATAAATATAATTAGCTAGATAATTTATTATTCTTAATAATAAAAGGTAAATATTATCTTTTATTTTAATATAAAAAAAGTAATTTACTACTTAATTAAAGGATTACTATAGTAAGTAAGAGAGCTTTATAGTTATATAGTAGCTACTAAAAAAAAGGGAAATTCCTAAATATTAAGAATTAAATAACTTAATATTATACTTAATATTATAATATATTAACCTTTAGTCTTTTTACTTAGTTATAAGGCTTATATCTAGCTATATATAAGGTTTAATATTAATAATAGCTTATACCTTAAATATAAGTCTTTTATTAATATAACTCCTTTTATAAACCTTAAAATACTACTTTTTATCTATTTAAAGGCTACTATCCTTAGCTTAATCTTTTACTTAATAGGAAGATAAAGTATATACTACTATAAATATATCTAATAGAACTATATAACTTAAGTCTATATTAATAATCTATCTATAAGCGCTACTTATAGATAATTTAACTACTTATTAAAGTTTAATATATTACTACTTAGTTAACTTTACTAAGTCTTATATATTACTATACTTAAGTCTTAAATATCCTACTAAGTCTTATTTAATCTACTCTAATCTTATAACTATAAGTATAATATATAAATATCTAAATTAAAGGATATATATATTAAGATACTAAAGTATAAGCTACTAAGAGTATTAATACTTATTATTAAAGATAAATAGCTATATAATTAATTAATCTTTAAGCTTTTTACTATAAATATAAATAACTATAAGCTTATAAATATAATTAAGGCTATAAGATTATTAAAGATTAAAGTACTTTAAGACCTTAATTTAATAATTAACTAATTTATTTAACTTTAATAATTATATTTTTAATAAAATTAACTTTTTTAAAGAGGAGGATTTAAATAATTAAAGTATAATTATTAAATAATATATTATTTAATTAATCTTTTTAATTCTAAAGTATATTTATATAAAATAGTAATTATAATTATTATAATCTTTAGCTATTATTATAAAGATAGTTATTAAAGTTATTAGTTAATAGAATATTTATATATAATTAAGGAGGAAGAAGGAGGAAGGAAGGAAGAGAGATATATAGTTGCTAATTAAATATAAGCTTATTTATCTCTTTAAATATATAATATATATAATATATACCTATTTTATACCCTCTCTATTATTAATATAGAATTTTTAAAATTAATAATAATAATTAATTACTTATTATTAATTTAATTAATAAACTATATATTATTTTTATTTATTTTCTCTTACTATAAATAAAGTTATCTAATCCTAAGATTAAGCTATATATATAACTATTATATATAGTTTTTAAAATATAATTTATAGCTTATACTTAAACCTTTAATACTATAAAAACTTAAATATTTATATATTTAGCTTAAGTATAAGTATTAATATCTTATTAAAAACTTTAATAAGGGCTAGTTAATATATAAGTTAGCTATAGCCTTAAAAGGAGATACTTATTACTATTAACTATAATTACTTTCCTATATAGTAGTAATAATAGTAATATAGTATTATTAAATACTTATATCCCTACTAGTAAGGGCTTAGTTATTAAAGTAAATAATAAGTATTTAGAAGATATACTAGTTTTAATTATAAATAACTTAAGAGAGCTCTATATTAATTATATTAAATACTTAAGCCTTTACTTAATTAATAAGCTTTTATAGTAATAAAGCTATTAATAATAAAGTAAATCTAATAGCTATATCTACTAGGTTTAACTTTATATTATACTAATTAGGTAGATAAAGTAAAGATATTAAATAAAGTACTCTTTAGGGATATAGAAGACCTTAATAAGCTTAGTTTTAGTAATAACTACCCTATTATATATACTTATTATAACTAGTATATAACTATTAGTTTAGTATATTATATACTATATTAAATTAATTTAAGTAGAGGTAGCCCTTATTTAAGTTTTAATATATAGATTAATTTAGATTTAGGCTTACTTAATATAATATAGTAGAAAAGCTTCTAGGAAAGGTTATTATATTTAAGGTTTATAATATCTACTAGAAAAGTTAGATCTATAAGGTTAGATTAATTAATTATATTTATAAGTATAGTATAGTATTTATTATAATAAAATCTTTATTATTAGTATATAGTTTTAATTAATTCCTAATACTTAGTAATTTATATAGTTATATATTATATAGTAATAAATAAATATAAAGTATAAGCTTTTAATAATTTACTATTTATAAAATAATAAATAAATAAAATATTTAAATAAATATTAAAATAATATCTATAAGTATATATTAATTATAAATAAAATAAAAATATAATTATTATTTATAATATAGATTATATATAATAATATAATATAAAAATTAATTTAATTATTATTAATATATATAGTAAGTAAGAGAGCTATATAGTTATATAGTAATTACTAAAAAAAAAGGGAAATTCCTAAATATTAAGAATTAATAACTTAATATTATATCTAGTATTATAATATATTAAACTTTAGCCTTTTTTACCTAGCTATAAGGCTTATACCTAACTATATATAAGGTTTAATACTAATAATAGCTTATATTTTAAATATAAGTCTTTTATTAGTATAACTCCTTTTATAAACCTTAAAATACTACTTTCTATCTATTTAAAGGTACTATCCCTAGCCTTAATAGGAAAATAAGGTATATACTACTATAAATATACCTAATAGAACTATATAGTTTAAGTCTATATTAATAATCTATCTATAATCACTATAGATAATTTAATATATATTACTACCTTCGCTGCTTATATATCACTACCTTTATCGCTTTAATACACTTAAGTCCTTGCTAAAGTTAAATATCCTATTAAGCCTATACTTACTATTAATCTCACTTAATTTACTCTTAAACTTATAACTATAAGTATAATATATAAATCTTAAAGGATATATTAAGATACTAAAGTATAAGCTACTAAAGGTACTAATACCTATTATTAGAGATAGGTAGCTATATAACTTATTAATCTCTAGGTTTTCTAGTATAGATATAAGTAACTATAAGCTTATAAGTACTACTAAGGCTATAAGGTTATTAAGATTAAGGTACTTTAAGACCTTAATCTTAAGTAGTTAGCTAGCTTATTTAATTTTAATAGTTATATTTTTAATAAAACTAACTCCTTTAAAGAGGAGGATTTAAATAATTAGATTATAATTATTAAAATATACTTCTATTAGTTAACCTTTTTAATTCTAAAGTATATATTAATATAAAATAGTAATTATAACTACTATAACCTCTAGCTACTTTAATTACTTAATATTAGTGACCTAGTATATAAGATATTAACTTAAGGATAGTAGGTACTTATTATAAAGATAGCTACTAAGGTTATATATAACTAGGGAGAAGAGGAGGAAGGAAGGAAGGAAGGGAGATAGATAGCTAGCTATTAATATAAGCCTACTTATCTCTCTTAAATATATAAATATATATAAATATATACTTATCCTTATACTCCTCTATATTTTAATAAATAAACTTTTCTTAATATAAACTCTTTAATACTTTAATTTAATCTTAATTAAAAATATAAAATTAAAACCTAGCTTAATATCTTTTATCTTTAAAAGCTATCTTTATTTAAATAAGTTTAATATAATATATAATATATTAAAACTAAAAGTTATATTTTAAGTTATAATAAATATAAATAAAGAGATAATTATTATTAAGATATAATATTCTATTTAGCTATATCTTATTCTCTTTAAGTACTTATAGTAATATCTAGCTATAAACTATATAATAAAGAGATAGACTTAGTAAATATAGTTATTAAATTTATATTATTATAAATAGCTTTATTACTATAAATAAGCCTTTAATTAATTAAAGAGGTATATTTTAAATTAGCTTAAAATAGAGTTATTTTATATAATATTTAATAATTATTATTATATATATAAAGACCTAGTTATATAGTTTAATTAAGCTTTAATAAGTAAAGATATTTATATTTAATATTATTATTATTATAAAGTATTTAGTAATTATAATTAGTAATTATAGTTAGTAATTATAGTTAATAATAATAAATATCTCTTTTTAAAGCTATAATTAACTTATATATTAGCTAGCTCTTATTAAAGTTTTTAATAAAATATTAATATTTATATTTAAGCTAAATATATAAATATTTAAGTTTTTATAGTATTAAAGGTTTAAATATAAACTATAAATTATATTTTAAAAACTATATATAATAATTATATATATAGCTTAATCTTAGGATTAAATAACCCTTATTTATAATAAGAGAAAATAAATAAAATAAATCTTATAGATCTATAAGTATTAATTTATAATTATTTATTTTATAATTATTTATAATTAATTATTAAACTAATATTTCCTTCTATTTAAAGGAAAAAGAAAAAGTTACCTATATTAATATATTATATAATAGCTTATTAATTAATTAATAAGCTATCTATTATATAACTAAATAAACCTTCTATTAAACTTAATAGATAGCCTTTCTTCCTTAGATATAATATAATCTATTACTTTAATTACTTCTTTTTGCTTTAATATAGCTGTATTTAACCCTATCAACCCACAGTTACTGCGGGGTAATAATAAGTGTGTCTGGAAAATCCCTCTGCTAACAACAACATACGATTCAAACTGGGCGTAATCATAGCTGCTCTTGTTTGAAAACTAGCAGCCGGCTCAATATCGTATACGATTCCTTCGGTCATGCCTTGCGTATTCGAAGTAATTATTAAGTAACGTACTCTAGCTCTTAAATTGTGTTAAAGAAGCGTCCATATCTTGTAGGGAAATTTCCCAACCTTCCCTAAAATCTATTGCTAAAAACACCCTCGACGGCCATTTAGAGACGCCAGGAGATATAAACGTTTGAAATAGAAAAGAAAATGGAAGCCTCAGAATACGATGTGCACGATCCCAGGGGGGAAGATGCCGAATTAGCGATGGAGCCTCATGTGGAAGAGGCGAGACAGATAGCTACTCTCACGTCTCCTGGGTGCCAAGTGTGTCAAGACTTGCTGGAGATGTTTGCAGCGAGCGAAGAGAAACTGCCTGCCACAACTCAGATTGTTCTAGGGTTTTTCGACGAAGCCATGTCCACCAACTGCCTACGCCACAAGCCTTTGGTGGAGTGGTTTGTGGACCAGTGCCGGCAGCAGCCACATGAAGATTGGAAGGAGTATTTGGAGATTTTGTTCCGAATGGGCGTCGTTGAACTTTTTGAGTCAGTAGACATGACTGGCGTCAATTTTAACCTTGCGCTCGCCAGCAAGTCGCCGCTACATCCAGATCCTGTCCGCAAAGCGCGCATCATCGACCCAGAGTATATCGATCTGGACATTTTCAAACACTGGAAGAACGAGTGCCTCACGTCTCATGGCACTTGGTGCCAAAACTCAATGAAAATTTGGCACACGCGCCCGGCCTGGCTTGTGGACGTGAAACAAATGTGTGTTGTCCCCGGTGACGATCCTGCCGTCGGCTCATCCTTCATCGCTCTAAGCTACCGTCAGGGATCACAACCCGGCGTTAGTGTCGTTCCTGAGCTCATGCTAGACCTGCAGCGGCCCGGAATACTTGATGAAGACGAGGCCAGCAGCTGAGTGTCCCGACTGTTGACCCCTATAATCCGACATGCTATCTATCTCACCTCGATCCTTGATGAACGATATCTCTGGGTCGACGCACTCTGCATAGTCCACGGCGACGGAACAGCCACCGATCAACTAGGCCTCATGGGAGCCATCTATGCCAGCGCAGCGGTGGTCATTATCGCCACGGATGGCGACGCGCAGGAGGGCATTTCGGGCCTCAGAGGGATACCCCAATCATGCCCTCGAAAGTTTGATCAGTGGTCATTTCCATTTGGGGGTGAGGAAACCATTGTTGCCAGAGACCAGTGGTCGTCTATTTTGGCCGGCGGACTGTACTTCACTCGCGGCTGGACATTTCAAGAGTACAAAATGGCCAGCCGCAAAATCTTCCTTCACGACGGCCTGGCGCACTGGGAGTGTGAGTGCGCCCAATGGGACGAAGATCTTGCTCACCTAGAACCTTTCAACTTATCGATCGACCCAGCAGGCCGTGAAATTTTGGCTGGGTTCCCTGAACTCTCCTCGCTGGGCAGAATCATCGAGAGATACAACGAATTGGAGCTACGCTACGAAGAGGATGCGCTACCTGGGATCACGGGCCTTCTGTCCGTCCTCAGCCGCTCCTTCGCCGGTGGCTTCTTATATGGGATCCCAGAAGCTTTTTTCGACCGGGTCCTTGGATGGATACCATTATCGTCGCAGAACAGAGTGGTACGGCGTGTGTCCTCAGATCGTCCTGCTCACCTGAAGTTTGCATCGGGTTTGCCCTCCTGGTCTTGGGTCGGGTGGCAAGGCTGCATCCGCGTAGGAGAAGAGGCGGATCGCAACCATCACCTGGAGAATTCTATCTGCGAGACAATTCCGGTCACACAGTGGTACACTGGAGAGCACCCAACGACTCCTCCACAGGAACGTCGGCGGATACGGTCGAGCTGGTATGATCAAAGAAGCACCCGGAAGAAACACGCTGCAGAGCTCGGCTCACCATTGCCGGACGGATGGACTCGCCACGAAGTCAAGCCTGGGGCCAAAAGGAGATTTGGCTCACCATTCCTATGGCCAGAAGGATGTGGAGGATATGTATATACGCACGAAAAATTGCCCGACAACGGCTATTGGGCTTCAAATACCTTCTTTTATCCCTTTCCTGTACCAAAGATCACGGAGTCGACCCCACCTGAAATGCCAAAGCAGACGGCATATCTGTTCTGCGCGACCCAACGAGTCCGTCTCTGGACTCGTGGGGAGAAAATTCTTACCGGCGAGCGCGAAAACGAATATGGTAGTATTCGCATACACATACATGATGATGTGGGAGATGCAGTAGGTATCCTTCGACTAAATAATGAAGATCAGTTGGAATGGCTGCAAGCCATATCGACGGGCACTGAAAGGGGTGTGCAACTCGAGCTTGTGGCGATCAACCGTGTGCTGACGCGGGGAAATACCTACGACGAGGAAAAGTCGAACTATGATCTCCCTCAATGGGCTCGAGATGAATATACTGTCTTATGGATAGAGTGGGAAAAGGGGGTCGCGTATCGCAAAGCAGTGGGCCATATCGAAAAGTTTAAGTGGGAAAACCTTCAGGTTGAAGATGTTGATTTGGTCTTGGGATAACTGGTCTCCATAGAACTAAGAATACAATGAAAATGATATTGGAGACAAGAAAGTCTAGGAAAACAATGGCTTGGTCACGATTTGGCGCCAAAATACGAACTTCAGTCTATTCAGAACTTTAGTTTCATGATAACCAATTATTACCAATGAAAGCGAACATCGAGCTTGAGTCTAGCAATACTATTAGACGTTTGTAGTTCTCGATACATCCCTTGTGCATAGGCTCTCTTATTCTTCTTCTTCTAAACATAATAAAAAATTGCTCTATTACTGAATGTTTGGCCATTCCTTTGCATAGTTGGCCATTCCAACCGTTAATAACATCGCCAATTTTAGCTATTGAAAAATGTCTTTCATAGCCTTGAATCAAATAAAACAAAAGGAGGTGAAGGGATGATCCGACCTACCTTCGAACATAATGATGCTAGCCCCAAAGCTGCTGCTCAAATTGTCTGCCCTACCCGATGGAAGAAACAATAGGGTCGGATGGTTCAACGGTATGGAGTTCGTTAGAGTCACACGCCTAACTCTCCGCCAGGCTACTTTTGCAGTCAATTTTCGAATTGTCAGATTGGAGCAGTTTTCCTACGTAGCTGGTTGCCTCTACGACAGATATCCGGCATCGGGACCGGAACGGTGAGCAATCACTCTTTTGTTACATTGGGCAACAGCAGCAATTAATGCCGTTGTTAGCCGCCCTGCATCACAGACTCTATTCCTTTTCCCCACAATCTCCGCATTGCCTCGCCGGTCAAGGCAATCTCACACGAGTGCCGTTTATCTACCCCATAGAATGTTCCAAGCGGCAAGGACGGGGACCTGGAGTTGCATCTATCCAACCGGATCGGTAGGGGATCGGACATGTTCAGATGATACACTCCATCCGCCTGTAAGCGCTCGTTGATGTTCAAGTTGTATGATCGACGAATACAAAACGTAGTGGTATCTTGCCACTGGACTCTCTCATCCCATAAGCCTATTTTCTCGAGCCTCCCACTTCTTTGAAAGAAAAAAAAAAAAGATGTCCAACATCAGAAAGCACGTCGTCTTCGACATTGTGGGCACCATCGTTACTTACGACTCCATTCTTGATGCCCTCGAGAAGAGGATGGGTGATCGCCTTCGCGACGAAGGAGTCAAGCCTTCGATGCTCGGCTACATGTGGTTTGAGGTTTCGGAGAGGGAGTATACGTATTTGAGCATCACGGGAAGGTATAGAAGTTTCTATGACGTCTTTACCAGCATTTTCTACCGGATGTTGTGGATTGGCGGTATCCAAGATCCCAGATCCTTTGCCTCGGATGAGGACTTGGCCTATATTATGGGCCATATCGAGGACCTCCCTCTCCGTGCTGGTGCGGCTGAATGCTTACAGCTGTTGCGCGATGCCGGATTCACCATTTGGGTGTTTACCGCTGGAGACAGGCAGAACGTGCGGGGGTACTTTCTGAAGAACGGAATCGAGATGCCGCTCGAGAACTTCGTCTCATGCGATGATACTGGCGTCGGTAAGCCGGCTCTTGATGCTTATAAACCATTATTGGAGCGCCTGGGGGATGACGAAAAATGGTTCGCGGCGGCCCATATGTGGGACGTATCATCCGCCAAACAAGCAGGGTAAGCTATGAGGCCATTGCAACGTGAGACTGAGCTGTGACTGACCTAAGATGAAACTAGATATAAGGGTGCTTACTGTACGGCCTTGGAAAAGGAAGCTTGTGTCGACATTTTTGGTGAGATGGACGTTATGTCTGACACTCTGCCTGAGATGGCGCGTAAAATCATCCAAGCCTCCACGTCCTCCGCCTAAGAGTTAGGATGGATACTAAAGCGATGTGGCGATGTAGGCTGGAAATAGCTGCAAGAATAGTTAATTATCACTGAGCTCATGAACGGGCAAGTTTCTGGCTGGCGAGTTGCGGGCGTGAAGCTACATAATTGCAATCAGTATCAAGTCCGCTCTCGCAGAATCCATCGAAATGGAAGCATAGTTTTACAACATTCAGCCTCGGAGATGGTCAGTTCGTGGGCGTTTCTGTAACTCCCGGGAATTTATTCTAGCTGGATTTGTATGTGTCTAACTAAAAGTAGTGGCTCACCACGTGTGGCAGAGTGTTCCATTAACGTCCGAGAAAGCAACATCAGCTGATCCTGCAGAAGCTTCTTCGAGATCTCATCCAATCGGGCGATCGAGTGCCTCGGATCATTTGCAACGCGGACATTCATGGTCTGGCGAGAATGGTAGGGGAATGTTTATAAGAGGAAAGTAGAAAGAGACGTGCGGAATAAACCCAGTTAGAACGGCCCGGGAGCTAGCTTTGAATGGCCACACGAGTCAAACCGAGGCGGAGGAGCTCACTTTGTTCTCGCTTGCGACTAAGTTAGGGCGCTGTCCGTCTTACGCCGTTCCGGCACCGGATCGGAAACTGGGTCGTTTCTTTCTTCTCGCCCCATCTGACTGCGGGTCAATTTCCTCCACTGCCAATGGAAAAAGCAAGTCTGCCCGTTTTGGGAAGTTCTAGTGAGACCAGCCAGATCTGTTGCATGGCCTGAACTGAACTATACACATGACCTCTCCACGGCCGATAACGAATATCTGGCCACGCTGCTACGGAATATCCTGAAGCAAACCATCGTCTTCTTCCTCATCTCCTTTTCTTGCACCACTGCGTCTTGTATTCTTCACCGCATTGCCCAGCATGTCTGATTCCCCTGACGGCATCTACGAGAAGGGTCTTGTCGACCCCGGATTCCCCGTGGCAAACTCCACCCAGCCCTTCTGGCTGACGGAGCCATCGGTGCACAGCAAGCTGCAATCACCATGGCCCGAGTCGGTGGACATCGCCATCATCGGCTCCGGCATGACTGCTGCCAGTCTCTGCCAGACTCTCTACTCGAAGAACCCCAATCTCAGAATTGTTCTCCTCGAGGCCCGCGATCTCTGCTCGGGAGCCACCGGCCGCAACGGAGGCCACATCAAGGCCATGAGCCCGGGGTCGTGGTTCGAGCGAAAGGAGCAGCTCGGGGTGCAAGAGGCCGTGCGCGTCATGGAGTACGAGCACAGCCACCTTAAGGAGATGGCCGATTGTATCAAGACGAACAAGCTCGACTGCGACCTTCAGGAGATTGAAGGCTTGGATGTCTACCATGACGAGAAGGTTTTCCGCCATGCGCTGGACGCCGTCGAGGACATGAAAAAGCACGCTCCCAGCCTCGCCGAGATCTACCGCGTCTACACGGCAAAGGATGATCTCAAGGCTCGAAACTGCCCAGAGGAGTGCCTGGGAGCCATCGGAATGCCCGCCGCCTCCATGTGGCCTTACAAGATGGTCACAGGGCTCTTTGATAAGATGATCCGCGAGAGAGGTCTCCTGATCGAGACCAACACTCTTGTTACAGCCGTCTACGACGAAGACGATCGCAGCTTCGCTACCGTAAAGACCAACAGAGGAGAGATCCGGGCCACCCATGTCGTGCATGCCACCAACGCTTGGGTCAGTCGCCTCGTGCCGGAGCTGCGCAAGTTCGTGTCTCCAGTCAGGGCCAACGTCCAGCGCCAGGTGCCTCGCCCGTCCAAGGCCCGATACAGCAACTCCTGGTGGATCCGATACGGAGAGCATGATTACGAGTATATGATCCAGCGGCCAGACGGCGCATATGTCATGGGGCGAGCAGGTACGGGCCGCAGGGCTACGGCAGATGACAGCTCGGTTGACTTCCTGGCTCATAAGCATCTCAAGGCAGTCACTCCTCAAGTGTTTGACTTTGGCACCAAGGACATCGAGACGACGCATGCTTGGAGCGGCGCTGTTGCCTTCACGTCGGACGGCAATCCGTTCATCGGTAAGCTGCCGTTCCCAGGCCGTCAGCACCAGTGGGTTTGCGCCGCGTATTCGGGCATTGGAATGGTCAGGGCGTTCAGGTCGGCCCAGCTCCTGGCTTTGTTGTTGCTGGGCGAAGAGGTGCCAACCGCGTTCCCTCGCTCCATGCTCCTCACAAAGTCCCGGGTTAAGGATCGTGGAGACGCAATTTCTAGCAAGCTGTAATTTATAATGAATGCAAAAGATACGAGGGAACTTCATGATGACTGTCAGGAGCCCCATCTGTTAGCTAAAGAGGCTGAAATACAAATGTGCTGCCAGTTTGGCTTTCTCGAAAAAGAATGAAGTTAATCTTCGATATTGAGCCATGAACGACGACTTTGGCGAGTGGCCTCTTGTAAATACACATATTGCTTATGAACGTATCGCGACTGTCAAACAGTGAGACAACACAGGGTTGGGCGAGAAAAACCTAAGAGTGTAAGGATAGTAATCAGGAGCACACAGATGGTGGGGAGAAGCTCCAGGTATCGCGCACACGAATATTCCAATAATTTAGACTGAGGCCAAGTTAATAACCGAATATCTAGAACTCTGTTACTAGAATCACATGGGATCAACAAACAAGCCCGTTACTTTGCTGCACGGTGAGGAAACCCTCCATTCTCCAACTTGACTGAGGTTTAGTATATGGGCCGTACCATCATCTTAGGATGTTGCCTGAAAGTATAAAGCTGATTCATTACACGGAAGTCTCCGGACCATATACACTTCTTCTTTGTCCTATGAGGATGATCTTCAGGCCTGGAACATTTAACCTCAAACCACCAAAAACCCAGAATCACTTCCGGCAACAGTCCCCGTCGCATTTCCATCCTTCATCACCCACAAGTATGCCTCCACCACATCCTCCACCTGGCCAAACTTGCCCGTCGGTACCGTCGCCTCCGTGCTCCTCACAAACTCGGCCTTGGCCTCATCACTCATCATGCCCCAGAGCCCCGTATCAATAAACCCGGGAGCCACCACATTCACCCGGACGGGCTTGAGCTCCACGGCAAGCTGCCTCGTCACGGCCTGTAGCCCGCCAGAGAAGTACGATCCCAGAGCCCACCCCGGGGTGCTCTTCCACGCGGCGCTACCAGACGTCAGGGTCAGGGAGCTCTCGCGAGATGGAGGGAGATATCTGGCGGCCACCTTTGCGCCCAGCAGAGGGGCTACAAAACGCATCTGACAGGCAGCAAGGATCTTTTCAGGAGTCATATCCTGCAGCATCGTAAGAGACAGCGCATCCGCCGCCGTGTAGACAACATGGTGAACCGTTCCCGCTGCTTCTACTGCCTGCCGGAATACAGTGTCCAGCTGGCTCTCGGCGTCCTCCCCTGCCAGGTTTGCAGTGAACCCCTGGACCCTCTGGTTGGGGTTCGCGATGTAGCTGCTGAGCTGTGACACGGCGGTGTCTATCTTGGCTCGTGAAGAAGATGTGATGGTCACGACACCGGCTCCAGAGACGAGGGACGCTTCTGCGATGCCAAGCCCGATCCCTGATGAGCCGCCAATAACAATGACATGCTTGCCTTGAAGCTTGTTGTATTTGGAAGAAGAAACCATTTTGGACTCTTTTATATTTGTAAACTCTTGGGAATATCTTGCTTTTCCACTTGTTGATGTAAAGATGATGAAAAGAGGTGACAGGCTGCTTTGTGAGTGATGATTACTGCCTCTTAACTATGTATGCGACTTACACCTATTTATCCTCCCGCTGCCTCGACACCAAAACACCCCTAATTTCCTATCCCCGGATATCGAAAGTCACGAACCTTCACCAGCTTCGAAAAAGCGCCAAATCTCGATATGCATGGTGTTGAGATTCTCTAAGCCTTGATAGCCACTTCCGTCATCCGCTCACGCACTTAAGGACCGCCCACCCGGAGATAAAGGCCAGAGCCGATGCAACCACCAGCTACTGACCCCGTTAAGACCGGATTGCGAGCTGGCACACGACTTAGGCGGGCGGGAAGCATCATCTTTAGTTCATGCCTATTCTTATGAGATGGTGTCTTGTGTAAACTGCAAGCGGTAGCTGCACTTGGCCGATTTCACGATGCGCAAGAGATTCGGTCGAAAGAGCTCAGCGGCCTCAGCCCAGAGGGTCTTGCATGGCGTCGCCCCTTTCTCCTCGTGTATCTAAATATATCGCGAAGCTGCAAATTCCAGTTCTGTGCCTAGTGAGAAATGCGGCGTTTACTGAGGATTATTCCACTATTCAAATAAAATATCAAGTGTGCATAGAGGAAAAGGCATTGTGCTGTGAGTCTCACTAGAGTCATTTTTCAGTGATGTCTTACACCCTATCTCGACCGATGCTATATCGGACTGCTACTAGGCATGCCGCCTCTTCTCGATCTCGGTCGAGAGAATGAGATGGGGGAGAGTTTGGACACCTTAGTTAAAGGGTAGAAAGAGGAACCTTCTTCGAAAAAGATATGCACTAGGTAAGGGTCACCATCAGAACAATAAAGCGCTCAAATCTATATTGATGCACCTATAAGGCACCCATTTGTGTTCGACGCCTGGTCGACGCCTGCTTCGAGATTCGACTATCAAAGCCCACGGAACACTATCTAGCTAGCTATGTTCTTACCTTTAGCAAGGTACCTATATAATGACGGTAGCTAGAAACTCTTTACCTTCTAACGGAAACTACCGCCGTAAAACAAGCTCGTCATCATCATCATCAGCAGCAGAACGATGCCGTCTCTATACATAAGCTTCATATGCCCGAGTTCTAAAATACTCTATCGCTGAAGTTGAAAACAATTACCGATCCATCCGTGCTACTCTGTCTTAGAAGAATCCAGTCTCCTTGACGAGATCCTCCGCCACGAGTTCCTGGATAGCAACACCAGGATGGAAATAATCAGTCCAGAGACAGCTCACCCCGTCGCTGTTGAAGCAGGTCGCGTTCGGAGCACCATACGTCTCCGGGCTCTCGAGCGCCCTTCGGAACGCCGGAGCGGTGTCGAAGACCTGTCCTCTCACGTCGTGGTGGCAGGCCTTCAACTCCTTCAGAATACCCCCGACACCGTTGTTGTAGGTGTCGATGTAGCTGCGGAGGAAATCCTGTGCCTCCTCCGGAGCGCCAAGGACCCCAGGTGCTTGATCAAATGCTTGAATGTGTCAGATGGTTCTCGTTCCTCGTGTGAGAACAACAAGACTTACGAGGCAGTGTGAAAAGAACAAATCTTCTGAGACCGTTGGTGTAGAGAATTTTCAGCAGCTCTAGGTATCTCTGCAGAACTGTCTCGATGGGCGGCTCCTCCCCCAGCTGCCACGGGAGGCCAACGTCGTTGATGCCGACCCAGACAGCGGTAAGGGTATCTGCTGCAGTCCAGGTTCCAGCTTTGGCGACGTGCTGTCCGAACAGGGCGACCTGGTCGTCCACTCCTGATCCAGCCGCGTTGCTTACAATCGCCTCGTCAACGGTGGCGTTCGTGACGGCAAGGTCGTAAGACAGGACGAGGGATGAGTTGAGCTGGGAGATGGCCTGTCCGACCCAGTTCAGACCACCACTGGTCGTAATACCTGGGAGGCTTGGATTTCCGATGGGGTTGGCGGGTGAAGGGGCTTCACCGTCTGCCAAGGAGCCCGTTGTGGAATATGAATCACCACTTTTCTCTCGTCAGTGAATTTCGCCAAATCCTGAGTACGGTCACATACAAGACCATTAGATACTTGGTCGAGTGGGCATAGCTGGCTGAAGCGCAAGCCAATAGGCAAGCCAACGAAGACAGTCCGGTGATTAACATGACGATGGCGAGTTGTGCTCCTTCGTGTTCGACTTACACTTCGACGTGGGGACGATCCCCGACGCCCTATACGCATCTTATAAGCGACACTGTCCCCCTTGCATCATCTTTCCGATCGTATCTAGATACGTCAAGAGCCCACATGACCGCTTGCGTTGCATTGCAGATTCCTTCTGCGTCGCCCACCCACGCAGTCAGACGCAGGGTCAGCCCGCATCAGCCGGATGAGAGCGACTGGATATGGTTAGTGCAGCTGCATGTGAGACTGGAGGAACCGTGGGCGATGATGACGACGATGAGGAAAGGATCCCTGGAAATTAAGGGAGGCTGAGTGAGCCTTGAAGCTTTCCAGTCCCCCTGCAAGTGGAAATACTATAGGTGAAACGCCACAGTGTAGTCCACTTATGTGGACTTTCCGTATCGTCCTAGACTTTTACGCATTAAAACACGCATCATCTCTTGCGTGCCATTAGGGTTCTCGAGTTGTATAGTTTGTTTCTAGTACATCTTCCTTGTATAAGATCTATTCCCTCGAAGGTAAAAGACTCTTTCACTGTACCAGTGACAGCTCTGTCTAAAATCATATCTAGGCACAAATTCAAGAGCTAATGAGACAAGAGGTATATTTAGCGAGGATATTTTCTTTTACACGGTATTCAAAGATATCCATAGGTAAGGAGTTTATTCTTCAATCTACATGCATCTACAACTTCGAGAGTGTCAACTTCGGGAATGTTGCATCCGGAAATATTACCTCGGGAGTATCGATAGATTGGCTACAGGTGGCGTCGTAATCAGATCGAATCGGACTTGCCAAAAGTCCCAAAGCCATCTGACCAAGACGAATCTGACATCGGAGCTTTTAAGGCTGATGGGGGTGCGCCATCTGACAGGGGTGAGCGGGAGTGGACGTCCAACCACACACCCTCAACATATCAAGTGTCCAGAAAGAGACCGGTGCAGATCTTTGAGTTTCGACACGTTCTGGATTACTGGAATAACATGGTACTATCGAAAAAAAGGAAGAAAAAAAAGAAAACTCCCCATGAAGTGGATAAAGTGACAAGCGACTACAATCCGGTTAACCTCTCAGTGCACTCACGCCTTCAACTCCTCGAAAACCAGCTCCAAGTCACCCGGCAGCGGGGTCAGCTGATCCCTCATCTCCTTCTCCGCGAGCATCTCATCCTTGATCCCCGGGGCGAAAGAGACGGAATACTTGGTGAGGAGCACGGCGAGCGTGAGCCTCAACTGGGCCATGGCGATCCTCTTGCCAGAGCAGGTGTACCGGCCTATGAAACGGGTCAGCTTGGTTCACAAAATACCGCGACAACAACCTCGTGTGGAGAGATCAAACGTACCTAGAGAAAAGGGGGCATGGGCCCTCTTGTCCTTGACCAACTCGGGCTTGCTGTACCAGCGTTCAGGAATAAAGTTGTGTGGGTCCTCAAATGCTTCCTCAACTGATGCCAAGGGCTCGTGTCAGCAGTGACTATCAACTCGGATCAAACACGATGAGGTTCATGAACTTACGTCGTCCGATGCTCCAGCGCGGGGCAACGATCTTGACACCACCGGGTATATACACGCCATCGCAATCAAGGCCCTCTGGTGGGGTCTGCCGAGATCCAAAGGTCGGCCCCGCGGGGAAGAGCCTCAGGGCCTCGTTGATTGCGCCTGTGATGTGTGGCAGGGCGGATAGGGCCACCATGTCGTTGTAGTCTACGCCGCGCAGCTCCTGGCGGATCTTCTCTGCCTCCTCGGGAAAGCGGGCGAGGAGGTACAAGATGAGGATGAAAACCGGACCAGTGGTGCTATTACATGTCAGTCTACTATCCGACCGGGTCCTTGGGACTTGGAAGGATATGCTAACCTTCCTGCTAGGAGCATGACGCCCGAGTCGCCGAGGAGCGCTTCATGGCTGATCTTGTCTGCGTCTTTACGTTGGGTGTCCTCGATGAGGAAGGATGCCACGTCAACCCCGTCTGGCTTGGTCTGATACGGTTTTTTTTGTCAGTTGACTTGAATGTGCATAGCGGAGATGGGATGTGATCAGCATTACCTTCAACCTCTTCTCGACGATACCAATCGTGTACCCGAACAACATCATCCAGTGCGGGAGCCTCCAGAGCCCCGGGAAGAGAGAAAGTGCTAATCTGGTAATCCAGGGCCCGGGGACGGTGGGCCCAATGATAGTCAGGGCATTCCCAACCACGTCAGCCCCCTCCCTGGAGTCCAATTCCCTTGTGCCAAAGCCAATGTCGGCGATAATGTCGAACGACATATCATAGATCAGGTCGTTGACGACGGTGGGCTTGCCGGCCAACGCGCTGATGGCGGTCTCGAATTTCAAAACATGGTCTGAGATCCTTTGAACATACTGCTTCATGGCTGCGGGGGTCAGAGTCAGCAAAGAGACGGGTCGACAGATTGGACTCAAGAACCTACGGCCTGGTGCAGTTGCCTTGTTCCAAACCTTTGCGCGGGCGACGTGGATGGCAGGGTCCCTGCTGAACACCCCGACGGTTGGGTACAGGAGATCATACCAATCAGACCTGGTATTGGAATTCTGGGGCGCGTTGAGGTATTCGACCCCTGCGGGGTGGAAGATGGTGATCTCGCTGGGACCTACAGACACAGTCAGCGAAGGCGACCAGGGCGGAGTTGTCTTGGAAAGGGAAACTGACCAGTCCTGACAAAGGGCCCGTAATGGCGCAACGAGTCCAGAACAAGGTGGTTCTGGGCAGTTCGGCACTTCCACATGTGCCACAGCTTGGTCACCGCGGCCAGGCGGGGGCCCGGGAAAGACCTCAGGCGGTGGAAGAAGAGTCTATACACGGTCATGCTCGCGAGCAGGCCGAAGAGATAGGCCGCGATGGGTATCGCGGAGACATACCACAACGCAGGGGCGATCACCAGCTGCCTGGCCAGCACGAGAGCAAAGAGGACGGCATGGCCCGAAGCGACGCTGGCCGCATACAGGCCCCATTCGCCGCGGATGAACAAGCCCAGATGCAGGGTGACACCTAGGATGAGGGGCGCGATGACCTGCGGAAGCAACGGGGTCGCCATGATGTCACCCATGATGGACGAGATGAGACGAGACGAGACAATGTAGGGCTGAGGCCGAGATGTGAGTTCATTGACTAGGTACGGGAGATGTAATGTGACGATTCGAGCTTTCTATACTACCAGCGGTCTGGTTGCAGGCATTACTTGCTTTGCTGGCAGTGCCTGGCACCATGCGTTCTCGTCTCTACTATCCCTGGATGCTCCCAGGCGTCTGCCCAATCGCAGGGATTACGTTGGCAACCCTACATGGAGTAGATGCGTAGCAACGGGTCCATTGCTGGCAGGGGGCAGGTCATCCGGTGTTCTGGCTGATCTGTTGGTGCTGGTCCAACATCCATGTCGTTAGAAGCTCCGAGACCACAGTAAGCTGTCAGTGTCACTCTCCGGGCCGGGTGACTGGCTCAGAGGGAATCCTTCGTTCTGCGACTAACAGACAAGCCCCCAATCACACGCTGGTCGTTCATCGTCTGATGGCGAGCTAAGACTGCTCTGCCCGTCCTTTGCCCTGATCTGGGACATACCGATGATAATCGCTTCATCCTCACGACCCACAAAGGTGGTGCCAAGCATTGCAAAGGATGAGCTCGGGCATGTCCAAAGGTCACACCTACTGATCCCACACTACGACGTTCAGAGTAGCAAATCCGGTTCCTTTTGGGGCACATACGCCCCGCGGCCGCAGCACGAGGCATCGCCCCAGCATGAAGAGCGAAGCGCCCAGCATGGCGTATTTGCAAGCGAGACAGTGCCACTCGGGCTTTTTTGCATGTGTCTGTCTGACAGCTGGGTTCCAGGAGGGTGGGAAAGGATCCATGTCCCTGTTTGATGACGATTGCCCCCTTCCCCTCTGGTTTGTGAAATTGCGACCCCGCGAAAAGACCCACGGAAAGATCAGGTCGTGATGCTGCCAGCGGGGTGTCAGGCACCATTTCCAAGACAGACAATACAATATTCATGTTCTTTTACATAGGGTCTGTTACACGTGTCGAAATTATTGACGAGGCATGAGGACAGTAATGTACAAAGAACAAAGGTATCCGCAAACTCGCTTCAAAAAACATCATAATATAATCGCTCCAGAAACATAATCATAATCCTCTCCCATTTGACCTCAGCGCCCCCTCCAATCCTCCGTCCGCGTACTATAAGTCTGCTCAACCTGGCTCGTCTTGTAGATATTATGATTACTCTGCGCCGTGGCCGCCCCGTCACCGCGCTCAACGTCCTCCATCCGCGTGTACGCCCCAGGAGACGCGTCCCCCGCACCGGCAGTGGCCGTCGAGGCGACGTGCCTGCGCAGCTCGAACTCGTCCTCTTCCTCGTCGCCGCCTCCTCGGGAGCCCAGCGTGGTCATGCCGGCGCCGCGCGAGCCCATGTACTTGGCCACGGTGCGCGACAGCTTGCCGTCGCCCGTCTTGCCGCCCGAGCCGAAGGTCAGGACGCCGCCCTTGGAGCTCGACGCGGTCGTGGCGGCATGAATGGAAGGGCCGCGGAAGTGGTGGTAGAGGCGGGAGATGAAGGGCATGCAGCCGACGAACATGACGATGGAGATCTCGGTGGTCCTGGATGGCGTTAGGGATTAATTGGTTATGATGGAGGAATCAATTGGCTATCCTGGAGGATTCAATTGGCCGTGCTGGTTGAATCAAGAGACTTACACAATCATTGCGAGCTTGGTCAACCACCAGGTCTGATCAACGTTGGTGAGGAGCACAACGCGGATGTACATCCCTCCAATGCCTGTTCCAATTGCACTGTTCGCCTACTATTAGAAAAAAAGGGAAAGCGATATATACTCAGAGTAAGTAAAACATACATTAGACTGACGCCGAAGACTGCAAAGGCGGCCAGCTTGCGCTTGATGGGCATCGAGAGGTGCCAGATGGCCCAGGCCGGGATGAGGAGGGCCTCGACATCGGAGATGATGTTGAGCACTCCCGAGCTGAGGTTCACCTGGATCGCGTCCGTACATTTACCCTCGACCGTGTCGCCGAGCCATATCTTCTCCCGCGGCCAGCACTGGAAGACGTAGGAGAAGAAGAGGCCGAGGTAGAAGATGATGTTAATCACGATGGAGACCACTGCAGTCAGTTCCAGTCAGCGGGGGGTGTCGAACTGCCAGTTTGCTCACGCCGCGCATTACGCACCTATGACCCAGTAGATGGAGTTTTTGGCGCCGGTGGTGAAGATGGACTTGAGCTGGAACAGCACCGAGAGCTTGGCGGCGGCCGTGGGGACCGAGTAGATGCAGTACACGATGTTGGTCCAGTAGAGGATGTTGGGGATCTGGGCCAGCGTGATGTCGTACATGTGCCGGGTGAGGCCCATCCGGGACAGGTGCAGGATGACGGCGACGTAGGCGACAAAGGAGGCGTAGGCGAAGTAGCTCAGGTAGTCCTCGATCCGGTTGTCAGGGATGATGAAGAGCTTGACGAACAGCCGGGCGGACAGTCCTACCGTGGCCAGCACCAACACGAGCGCCGACGTGACATAGACGGCGGCCAGTTGGTCAGGCGGATCTATGAAATTCGAGCTGGTCCCCGGCGGTGGGGAGATGACTGATGTGTTGGTCGGGTCCATGTCGTCTGCAGGACTGAACAGGCCACTTGACTGTTGGTCGGATGGAATGGTGTGGAGAAGAAAAAGCCCTCACTCATTCACATGAGGCATCAAGCATGCCAGGAATTGGGGTCTTATCCAGAGTGTGTGAGGAGAGAACAGGCCTGTTAACCGACATCAATGAGGAAAGATCTCTCCTCCGAGTGAGGACTCCGGAGGAATACCTGCATTTAAACGGCACACACACACACACACTCACACACAAATACACGCTATCTACGAAGGAGGCGGGGAATTTACTTGACACAACGGGAAAGGATTCAAGCCTACCACCTGCTCGTTGGAGCCGGGCAATATCCATATCTGGAGATGGAGATGCCATATCTGGACACCCCCGTCGTGGATGCAGCTCTGAGCCTCTATGCCTCTCCGAGTATGTTGCGAGCTCCACCGACTAAGTCAACTCACTGGATGGATTCATTTATATCTCTCGGCGCTCCCAAGGTTCCAATCGGCCTTGGAGCCCCCCGATGCAACCCTCCGGTGCACAGCTGACCCGTTGAGGCGGCCAATCAGGCCCGGATTGAGCCTAGGTCTGGACTGTGCGTGCTGATCCCATTAATCCAACTGCTCTTCTACATATAGCTCTACATATAGCTTCTCCCAGGCCCCGTCCGCTTCCACTGCGGGTAATAAGCACTGCTGCAGCTTATCCCGCGCGCGACCTGCAAACAGGTTCACGTAAGCTGAGTACCGAGGATATTCTATTCCGATGTCGAAAGTGGTTGTAACTTGTAAGAATGGATTCATCATTTAGCACTACGTAGAGACAGACCATCGTCCGGGAACTCAAGCCACTCCCGCACTCTTCTGCCAGACCTCTGCTCTCTCGTGTTTCATCTCTTGCCGGGCCGGCCTACGACCAGGGGTGTCCATCCTTGCCCAGCTTAGCGTTCAGGAATCCCCGACTGAGCAGGTTCTCGCCAACAATCTGGTCCTTGTGCGCCTCCATCTCCTCAATGTCCCCTTGGAGCGCATGTCGTGTCAGCAGATTGGCCCATGTTTGAAACGAAAAAAATTGATGGAAAGGTTCTAGACTCACAGTTCACGCTGACTATGCCGCCGCGCAGGAACTCAGCCCGCGGGGTGGACAGGAAGAGCGTCCAGCTGGCGCTGAGCTCGGGGGTGTCCTTTGCGTACGGCATGAGCGACTCGAGCGTCATGTTGGTGTCGACGATGCCCGGGATGAGGGAGAAGACGCGGACTCCCGCGTGCTCGGCGTGCAGGTTCTCCATAACGCGGGCAAGGGCCAGCTTGGAGGCCGTGTAGCCGCCCATTCCCGGGAAGACCATGCCAATGGCTCCCGTGGTGAAGCTGACGACGGTGCCAGCGCCCTCGGCCTGGGCGAGGAAGTGGTGCGTGACCAGGTAGGTGCCCAGCACGTTGACCTGGAAGTCGGTGAAGAAGCTGGCGGCGTCGACGCCGCCGATAGGCCCCCCGTTGAGGCTGCCCGCGCTGTTGATGAGCACGTCGACCTTGCCGACGGCTTCCTTGGCCGCGGCGTAGAGCTCGGTGACTGAGGCCTCGCTCGTGATGTCAGCGGTGCGGGCGAGGATCTTGGTGCCGGGCGGGGCGATGGTGCGGACCCGGGAAGCGACATCCTCGAGGACATCGATCTTGCGTCCCGTGAGCACGAGGCCGGACGCTCCCGCAATGGCCCAGGATTCAGCGATGGCCTGGGGTATATCGCATCGTATGTTAATCACGCAAGGGAAGATTGAGTTGACGGGGATCGTGACATACCTTGCCTATGCCCCCAGACACGCCGGTAATAAGCACCGTCTTGCCCTTGGCCGACAGCTCAGGCTGGGTGGGCTCTAGCAGTGGATAGACATCGCGCCGGATAGTCTTGGTCAGCTGGAAGGGCAGCGTGAAGGCGTTTGGGTCTGAGTAGTCCATGGTTCTGTCTCCTTTTTCTCTCCTTTTCGTTGTCCTTTTTTTCCTCTCTTCGTTCGCGGGCAACAGAGATTCTTGAATCAAGATGAGAAATACAGTCAGTTATCAGCGGCCGCTCGTCCGGGGTTGTCAGAGGTAAAAGAGCCCGAGCTTCAGTCAGTTTCGCTGATCCATGGGTGGTTGATTGGCCCACTCACACGCTGAAGCATCGCGTACGAGTATGACAAATTCACAACCACCTCTGGACTGTTGCCTCCCTCCTGCATTCTGCTCCTGCATTGCAGCTCCTGCAGTTGGTCGGTCGTAAATTAAAAGGTAACATCCGTCAGCGGCACGAATCCTACAGCCTCGCATTCACCGTCTCTAGCAGATGCAGCCCCCCGGCCAGCCTGCAGGAGGTGGTATTGCCTTCTTCCAGGTTCAACACGCCCCCTGCATCCCGTGGCAAACACGCACCTCGGCACATCACACCATCTGGCCCACCCCAAAAGATGTCAGAAGTTCCATCGATAGATAGCCCCGAAGATTAGCTCCCGAAGTATAGCATCTCCGAAGGGCGCCATGTGCGAAGGATGTTATCTCATGCGATGACATCTCGAAGGATGCCATCTGCCTCCGCTCCGCCCCACGAGGGTAGCATGCGCAATATATCGGCCACCGTCAAACCCTGGCCGATAGACCCTTGGTTGTGGAGTTGCCTCAGCGATGATCCCCAGGGGGTCGTTCGTCCACGAGGCTTTTTAGTTGAAACTCGCGGATGGAGGGCTCGGCATGTCTGGCCATCGTCTCAATCGCCCTCGTAGCCCTCGTGGGTGTAGCCCTGGGTTCAGCCCTCGTGGGTGCAGCGGTGAGGTGAGGTGATGAGGAGAATCCCGGGAGCGCTGATAACGCAAATCCTAGTAACAAGGTCACCATCGGGAGGGGGATAGGACGATATCCCGGGATGTCCACATGGCCTTTCCCACGTTTTTTAACCTCCATCGTAGACGTAGTATCTTGTTCCTTCCTAGATATTAATTGCTGTCTGTTTTGACCTTTTCGGCTTGCCTGCAACGTAGCCGCCTCTTCTCTGCAGACACCTTCTGTTTTCTTACCTATCGCCTGTCAGCCGTCTTACCTATCACCTGCCAGTCATCTGCAACCCGTCAGCCTGCAGCTATGGCCTCCTCCTTCTCCCTGGTCCAGTCGTTTGCGCCGATCCTCCAAGAGCCGATCTGGCAGCAGCAGCGCGACCTGGAAGCCTCTTCTGTAGAGGCCAGAATTAAGCTTGCATATGCCCGAGCCCGAAGTCTCATCCACGCGGTCGGTAAGAAGCATCACACATTCCTTTTTCTGATCGCCAAGAGATCGAATATTAACAATCATATGCAGGAATGACGATCGAGGATGTAGCCTTGCTGAAGCCCAAGTTCTGGGACTTTCACCGTCATGGTCAGATTTGATCCCTCACTATTCTAATATCACACTTTTCCCGGGACAATCTGGCGCTCATCCTTTTTAACAGCTTTCACCCTCGATTCCGGTGCTTGGACTATCCTGACCATCCACTGGAATCTCTGCATGGGCACACTCAGCCAGTATCTTCCGGAGCGGCCGGATCTGCTGCCCTTGCTCCAGTCTCTGGAGCGATTCGACACATGCGGCGAGTTTCTGCTCACCGAGCTAGGCCATGGCCTGGATGCGAGAAACCTCGAGACCACGGCAACTCGCCAGGCCGATGGCTCCTTTGTGCTTAACACCCCCAATGCCGCCTCAGCCAAGACCATGCCTCCCAGCTCCCCCTTCCTGGGCATGTCCCGCACAGCCATCGTCTTCGCCCGGCTCATAGTAGACAACACAGACCGCGGCGTGCGCCCATTCATCGTGCCCCTGAACGACCCAACCGGCGCCATGTGCCCCGGCGTCTCAAGCACCCTCTACCCCAAGCGCGCAGGAGCCAGGGCCATCGACCACTCCTCGACCAGCTTCGACAACGTCCTCCTCCCGGCGGGCGCCCTGCTCGGGCCCACCGGCGACTCGTCCAAGGACGAGCGAAACAGCTTCCTGCGCGCGATCCACCGCGTCACCGTCGGCACGCTCTGCCTGTCCACGAGCAACGCCACCATCCTGCGCGTCTCGGCCTGCGTCGCGGGCAGGTACAGCGTCCAGCGGACCGTCGGCGCGCCAAAACCCATCTCCATCCTCTCCTTCAGCACCCAGCACGGCCCCATCGCGCGGGCCCTCGCGCACGCCGCCGTCTTCGACAAGTACGCCGTCGAGTCGAGGCGGCTGTTCATCGACAACGCGAAGAGGCCCGAGATCCAGAACGTCATCGCCGGCACGTTCAAGGCCACCGTCATCGACTACACGCAAAAGGTGCTGAGCGAGCTGGTTGATCGGTGTGGCTGGCAGGGTCTCTTCGCCCATAATCAGGTTAGTAGATCCCCCCCACTCTCCCCATTTTCTCGAGATGAAGCGTAATTAGACTAACAGCGTCGTCTAGATTTCCGAGTTATGGCTTGCCGAAAAGGGCAACAGCATCGCCGAGGGCGACTACGTGGTGCTTTGCATCCGACTCGCGAGTGAGATCCTCCTCGGGCGGTACGCACCCCCCAAACCCCGTGATCCTCAATCTCTCCTGGCCCGCCACGAGGCCGGGGTCTGGGAAGAGGCCCGCCAGACATTCGCGGCCATCAAGGGCGGGCACCGCGGCAAGGACTTCGACGCCCGCATCCTGCCGCTCTCCCTGCCGCTGGTCAAGGCCACGGGCCAGCGCATGGCGTACGAGGCCGCCAGGGACTCGGTCGCGCGCGGGGACGGCGAGCACGGCCCCAAGCTGACGCAGCAGGTGCTGGACCTGTACGAGTCGACGTGCCTGCTGGAGGACGAGAGCTGGTACGTCGAGAACGGCGTCCTGACCCGGCGGGAGCTGCGGAACCGCCAGGTCGACGCGCTGAACTCCGTGCTGCCGTCGCTCGAGGGCATGATCAACGACCCGGCGGTCGACGCCTTCATCAGTGCGCCCATGGTTGGCCAGGACAGGCTGGCTGCCTTCTTCGCCGCCTTGCCGACATATAAGGGGCCCGATAGCGGGTTCGTGCGGGCCAAATTATAAAGAGTAGAGTATGCAGACTTGCTTTTGCAATGATTGATTATTAGCGCAGATATCCAGCTAGCTAGAATGAATTTCGAAATGAATGTTATTACCGTAATTACCCCTCAGTAATACCTTGCTACCCTAAACCAGCTAAATTTAGACCTATAAGGGAATATTCCCAGTCACGTTAAATGGATCACAGAATAAGTTTGAAGACTTAATAATAGAAACAGAGAGAATGCAGACGAGCATAGGGTACCTATCTATGATAACCTAATAAATACGAGCAAGGTAAAGCACAGCCATCAGGATATGTGACGAGTAGCTCGCATCCATCTTCATTTCAACTCGAGAAGACTCAGGGAGAGTAACGAAAAAGAATTCTCAACATATACTGAAGCTTTAACATTAGAAGCGTTGCACTCTACACATCTGGCACGGTTGAGTAAAATATCCAAGGACCATCTCAAAAGCTATACATGAGGTCCGCGCCTATTCGGAGGATAAAATAAGCTACCGAGGTACTTTGGTCTAGATCTCGAAACCTTAACTTGAATGCTGAGATTCTTAGGAAACAGCTGAAAATAATCAAACAGCCTCCACTTAGTTACATATGTATCCTCGAAGCGAAATGGGAAAAGAGTATATTTCCACTTTTAACCCACGGTTCCTACGAGCCTTCCCGCGCAGCCTCACGAACATGCATTAATTGGCGGAATTATAAGCAAGGACAGGCACAGAAGCATATTTCCCAATGAGGTAATTGATGACCTTCTAAACAGGTTTAGTTGCCAGCAAACAGCCAATCAAGGCAGCAGAATTGAAGTGATTCACGATGATGCAATTTCACGTGATGACTGGGGACGAGAGCGACCTATACGACATACTATCTGACTCACTGGATGAAGCTGTATAAGATCTGGACCGACGGCTGGGTTGCTGTCTCGATCCTTTCATCATCGTCAATCCTCTTCTCCTCTTCATTCACTTGCCCCAAGCCAAGCCCCTAAACAAAATGGAAATGGACTTCTACGACATTGCCATGCGGGCCCCATCGGCCGAGCACTGCTGCTCAGTGAACCCGTGGAAGTCTCGACTGGCCCTCAACTTCAAGAACATCCCCCACACCACCAAATGGGTCCCCCTCCCCGAGATCCCCAAGTTCCGCCGCGAGCTCGGCCTGCCCGCCTGCCGCAAGCACGCCGACGGCTCCGACTTCTTCACCCTCCCGGTCCTGGTCGACCATGGCACCGGGTCCAAGGTGGGCGACTCGTTCGACATCGCCCTCTACCTGCAGAAGACGTACCCGGACTCGGGCGACGGCGACCTCTTCCCGGCCCAGAAGCTGGACTTCCACTTCGACCCCATCCTCCCCGCCTGGGCCCCGCCGCTGTCGGTGCGGAGCGACTCCGAGCAGGAGGAGTACGCCAGCTTCAACACATCCGTCGACGCAGCCTTCTCGGCCCACGCCGGCCTCGCGGGCTACAACATGCCGGTCGACTCGGAGGCCACCCGCGACGAGTTCATCCGCCGTGCTGGGGCCAAGTCCTGGGACGACTTCGAGGTCAAGGGCGAGGTCCGCGAGCAGATGATCCAGTCTCTCAAGGCCATGCTCGGGGATCTCTCCAGGGAGTTCACAAAGAACACCGGCGGGCCGTTCACCCTGGGCGCGCGGGCCACGTATGCCGATCTCATCGTCGGCGGCTGGCTGTACATGATGAGCAGGACTCTTTCGGACGGCGAGTGGCAGCAGGTCAGGGGTTGGCACGGGGGCGTGTTTGGTGATTTGTTCGATGGGTTGAAGAAGTATGCCGAAGTGAAGTAGACGGTATTTTGCACCATTATGACAGAGGAGCGTAGAAGAGAGCCTGGGAAGGAAAATTATCAGCGTAGTGGTTTTTGGTGCATGGAACTTGGGAAATTTGAACCTGGATGAAATATGAATGAACGACGGAATAGCTCATAAGATCTAAAAAGAAACAAATTAAGGATCAAACACGAATAAATAAATGAATTTCTCTGGAATATATCGACATTTGGACAAACTAGAGATACAACTGGAGTAATTGAGCGAATGATTTTACAGAGTCTATCAAAACCAGAACTCAAGATGTTGTCGCATTATTAAACGAGTGAATGTCTAGCAGATTTCATCCAAGCCAGAACTGCATACAAGACACAAAATGACTGGACCAAAAGAACGCTCTGTAAAATTGGTGGAAATCACGACTGGAGGAGCTCAATACCGCCTTCCGGTAATCCTTAACGAAGACTGTGTTTCAAACGACGGAGAAAATGAAATGAGCGCTTCATCAATCTCCAACAAGTCGTAGAATTTCACGATTGGCTTGGGGAAACAGTCCAAATGTTTCAGCAAAAATGGACAGCTGAATTTTCATAACGCTATATTAGATTCTTTATATGTTTAAGCCCTTCAGAACCGCCAAAGCAGTCTTCGGGGAGATAAAATTCAACATTGAGAGCCCGAAAGCCCGTCCGAAGTCAAAGAACAAAGGAAATGAGGAGCGTGAGCCTCCCGAGCTGATTGCCTCCACTGATTAGTCTCCCTCGTAACTCGTGTGCTCCAACCCCTTGTTCATTTGGCTCCTGATCCTCTGTCGAAACAGATTCCTCGAAGCCCATCTCTCATTGCAGGCTTAAAGTCCTTCAGGGTCAATGCAAAGGACACTAGCCTCGAGCTACAGCGCACCCCGTTAGCAGATGATGGTTTATGGAGATGAGGTTGGGCTTTTCATATCTTACACCAGTGGTAACAGCGCAGCACTTAGGTCGTCTAGATGAAGCGCGGCAGCAGTCGGCGAACGCGCCCACACTTCCAGGGCGGTTATTGGGAGCTATCACGGGGATTAGTATCTCTCTTGAGAATGCACCGAGGCAAGGAGGGATGCATACGAGCTATGCAGCCGAGGCCGAGAAGGCCGAGGGCATCGGTATCGCAGCACTGGGGGACCTTGAGGAGATTGTTTGGGCAAGGATTGTAGGGACCAGGGCGCTCGCCACCAGGGTGCCGGCCACCAGGTAGGGCCATGGCAGCAGCGGCGAAGAGAACAGCGGTGGCGGCGAAGAACTTCATTTTCGTGGAGGTGGCTGGTGGTTGTCTTTTGAAAAAGATGAGATTCTTGTAGTGTTGGATTGGTGATTGAGACTGAAGAGCTGAGTGGTGAGGATGGGGAGTAAACTGCAATACTCCAGAGGGAAGACAACGACTTATATACATTTTCCTCGAAGCCGTCCAGTCCAGCGAAATGACAAGTCTTGCTTTCCTTTGGAAATGCCGCAGTCGCATCCAGCTTGCCGAGATGCAAAGTCGGCTTCAAGGGTAAGATCCGCCCTACGCATCTCATCTCCCAGCTGCCAATTCAGCCCCCAGCTGAGTCTCAGGATCCCAGAACTAGCCCCATCTTACTCGTAGCCACAGATGACGATCCGTCCATCACCAGATACTTCTCACGTCCAGTTTAGAATTTCGATCCCCATAGCGTGGAGGCGTCGCGGTGCAATCAAAATATCATCAGACTAACATGACAGGCCGGTCACTAGTCACATGCAGCTAGGCTTCTGATAGACGCGGGGGAGAACTGAGATTCTCACCGAAAAGGTACGATATTACAGCCACATGATACGTGGATGGACGAGCCAAGCAAATAAGCGCCTCTCTGCCGTCTGGGCATTCAGACGGACAGCGAGGCTGAAGATGCGGTGAGGCGCCGAAGCGCGGTCCCCTTCAGGTATTTTCGGAAAGCTGAAAATGCATGTGTCATAAACAGAGACTTGGGCTCACTACCAAGAGAGACAGACGAACCCTGTTGCCCTGGTGGGAGCATGCTAAGACCTGAGCAGCTCAGAGCTCTTCAGGCCCGGTTTCAGTATCGAGACCTTGTTCTGATTGTCAGGCCCTTCCTATACTCGCACGGCCATCGTGGTTGATAAGTTCTGGATAACTTGGCGAAACACCAAGAGGGATGGTCTTCCCAACACGTGCGTCAGTAAAATTAATGCCTAAATTTGAGGGCCCCTGATGCTTCGCCTATTGTGATTCAGATCCAAGTCAATATTTCTGACTACAATATCCTAGTTCCATGTTCGTTGTTCCAATCACAATGAGCTGAAAGTGTTGCCAAGGTGCCAAGGACGCCCGGTCGGTCATTGCTGCAGGTCATGATGGCATGGCCAATCTTCCAAAGCGAGCAGAGGCTGTTCTCTCCAACGACCAACGGGAGCAGCTCACATTGCGTTGGTCAAGGACGTTTCTTCTCCAGTTAGCATCCCCAATTGCTAAAATTGAAGTGTCTTCTTCGGAAATTATTCCAACGATGGAGGATAGAAAAGGGCGGGCGCAAGGGCGGACGCAAGGGCGGCCTAGCTCTAAACCCCAGACTTCCAATCGGTGGCCATGGCGAAGACGGCAATCTGAGACATCGTAAGTGCTTATGTCTATCCTCAGCTCCTCGGCAGGCAGCAGTTATTGAAAGCTACCTTACTTATTATGTGGACCAGTCTATGCAGCTCAAGCCGCCGATCCCAAAATTGAAACCTATGAGAGGTCAGAGGCTGGGCTTGTCTGAGTCGTTTTAATTCTGCTGCCTAGGAATACGAGTTGGGGCGCGATCAGAATTTCTTTCAAGGACATTCAGTTGGTGGTGATAATATTTTGTTTCGCTAAGTGAGGTAGCCAAAAAGAGGGTTGAAAGTTGTCAATGCCCCAAAAATTAAGAGAAACAGAAAAAAAAAGTGAACAGAACGCCGTATCACATCATCTAGTCATGGTCATGCTTATCCTTCCCGCTAAATTTTGCCCAGGTACCAAAAAGATCAAAGTTGGGGATCACAGCTTGGAGAAGACACCGCTGCATGCACCCTTGCCCAATTGCACAAGAGTGCTCTTGGTTCTCATGTAGGCCCGGATGCCTTGAATGCCGTTCTCCAATCCCAAACCACTCATCTTCCAGCCGCCGACAGGCATCTCGGCTGGAGACTCGCCCCATGTGTTAATCCAGGTGATGCCGGCGTCGAGCTGGCGGATCACATCGTGGGCCAAGCCCACGTCAGATGAAGCAACACCTGCAGCCAGCCCCATCGGTGTGTTGTTGGCTCGGCGAATAAGCTCCGGCAGCCACTCATCCTGCTGCTTGTTGGCGGTGGTATAAGGAAGAATGCACATGACAGGGCCGAAAATCTCCTCGCTCGCGACGCGCATGTCGTCAGTGCAGTCCGAGAAGATGACGGGGGGGACCCAATAGCCGTCGGCGGTGGGACTCTGGCTCTGGGCGTCCTGGGCTCCGTCGTAGAGCACTCGAGCCTGGTCCACCTCCTTTCCGTGTCGGATGTACATCCTGACCTTTTCTTGATGAACCTTGCTGACGACGGGACCGAAATTGGTCTTCTCGTCGCGGGGTAGTCCCATACGAATGCCCTCGCGACAACGCTGGATCAGGGCCTGCTCAATTTTGGCTTGCAGGTTGTCAGGAACAAATACTCGAGTTCCATTTGTACACACCTGGCCGGTGGAGAAGAAATTTGCCATCATTGCGATGTCGGCAGCCTCCTCGACATCAGCGTCAGGCAAGATGAGGAGCGGGCTCTTGCCTCCCAGCTCCATTGTGATGCTCTTCATGTCCTTGGCTGCCTGGCTGGCGACCTTGCTGCCAGTGTTGACCTGGCCGGTGAAGCTGACCTTGGCAATACCAGGATGCGCCACCAGAGGCGCACCAGCGCTCAGGCCATCACCGTAGACAACATTGAAAACACCCGGAGGCACGCCAGCCTCAATATAGATTTGTGCCAGAGTGTTGGCGTGCAGCGGTGTGACCTCGCTAGGCTTGTAGACCATGCAGTTTCCTGCTGCAAGGCAGGGAGCGGACTTCCAGAGGGCAATCTGGATGGGGTAGTTCCAGGCACCGATACCAGCGCAAACACCAAGCGGTTCGTGGCTCGTGAGGACAAAAGCATCGGGCCTTAGGCGAGTATTCTCTCCTGGGCTGCCGCCAGCAATCATGTGAGCATAGTACTCCAAGACATCGACGCCGGTGACAACATCGACGGTGGACGTCTCGCTCCAAGCCTTGCCAGTGTCGAAGGTCTCGGTCAGCGCCAGGGCGTCATTTCGCTCGCGAAGGATAGAAGCGGCCTTGAGGAGAATGGCCGATCGTTTGGTAGCCGGGGTCTGGGACCAGATGGGGAATGCAGCCTGAGCCGAGGCCACGGCCGCATCGAGCTGCGCGGGAGTGGTTGTGTAGATGGTCGCGAGAGGCTTCGAGGTGCTGGGGTCCAGAGAGACGAACGTCGAGGATGAGGAGCCTTCAGGTTGAGCCTTTCCCGAGTGAAAGGTGTGAATCTCGGGGGTGAAAGTCATGGTGGCGAAGAAGCGTCTCGTCCGAGACAGCAAGGCGTAGCTACGCTGTTTGAGAGGGGAAGCCAGGGGGAGAGATGAGAAGACGAGGTTTCTGCGAGAGGGAAGAGAGAACAGAATGTTGCCGGTGCTCAATGGCAATGATGCAGAATCCGATGAATTGACCGGTTACCAGAATAAAAGGATGGATGAATTGACAAGCTGTGTCGCTTGGTCTAACGCAGGCACATGGAGAGCTGCGATAAGTGGTGGGGTAGCAGCAGCAGAGCGGCATGAAGCTACGGGGGTGATTGTTCCAGAACAGGCTGCTAAAGAGCAACCCGTGAGAATTTTTGAGGCCAATTGGAACGTTGCGCTTATGCCAGGGCTGCTTGTGATTTGATGCTCGAGACGAATGCTCAAGAAGCTACAATCCGGGCGTAGCGCCTGTCGAGACTCATTCTTGTGGTGGTGTACATACGTCATTTGCGGGCGCCGGGCAGGAGCAGCCAGCAGGGGCTTCTCCGCTGGCGGGAAAAATGGGACGCCGTGCGAGATGTTTCGCACTGTATTGCCCTCTAATACCCGTTTGCGGTTTAGCCCGCCGTCATCAGCGAGAGGCGGGCAGCACATCGGTGTGCATTAACCACTAGTCTGGGCTGGCTGCTCGCCCAATGCTTGCTTTTTCCTCCCCTCCAGCCGTCTCAGGTCGGTAAGCACCAACAGACAAACGTACCTATATCAGCGCAGCAATGGGGTCATGGGCCGGGGAGAAGGACTGCAGATGCATGCCGGGACGGGCGCACCTGATAACGAGTCTCCCTCAGAGAAGAGCTGCTGCCATTGCGCTGAAATTCGCCTTGGCAAGTGCGAGGCAAAGGTTTGCAACGCCGTGCTCCCATTGGTGCAGGCGTCGCCGGGTCCCCGCAAATCTGGCTACACAGTGCGATCCAGATCGCAGTTCGCGGCAACGGCCAGGGCTCATCCAGATTTCGCAGAGATCAATCAACCGCACATCGATCCTCAGCACGCGTTGCCCCTTGGCAATCCCTGGGATTTGGCTGGGATTTGGCTGCTGGACCCCTCATCCCCACCATCGTCCATTGGCAACCCCACCGCTGGGGCTGCTTGTTGGGTGGGAACTGGGAACGGACGCAGAAGAGGGTCGCCGTCTGCAAGGCTCCTCGGCCTCAGCCATCCCTCCCCAAGCCAAACCACGACCGACCGGGCCGCCCATTGACAGAGCTTTCACTAGCAAAACGCTAAGCTGAGCCGATACGCATTGGCTACACAGTGCCAGTCCAATATGGGCCGGTCGCCTCTGGCGCCGTCTCCACACGATGGGGCCGGGACAAGAGTCAGGGACCCAAAACACCAGCCATCAACATCGGAATGGATGGGGGAATGACACGGTGACAACCAATGACGGAGCTCGCTTTTTTCTTCTATCTTGCCCTTCGTTTAGGCCCCATCCTCGAACAGCATCATTTCGTCTGCTCCGCCGCTGGGTTACGGCCCCGGCATCGCCTCTGCCGCCCTACGCAACCGTTTATTCACACCATCGCCCACGAATGCACCGCCAAATCTTATCCGTCAAGTTTTTTGGACGCATTCTTATCAGCTCCACTTGGTCAGTGTGCCATCCTATTTGTCGGCAAGGGCCGTCCGAGCTTGCATCCTCGACAACTTCATGTACATTAACCCCGTCTCTTCTCTCTTCTGCATCATCGCCTGTCTCGTGTGACCTGTACACCAGAGATTGCTGCCGACCTTCCTAGTTCAGAAATCCCAAGGAGAGTCGTTATCTCGTCGTCGTTCCTATTTGTATAGCTCTCGCTCCCATTCCATTTTGGTGATTGCTTCCCACCTCTCCTCATCGCCTCATCCCTCCTCCACCTCATCCCTCTTCCCACCTCATCTCATCTCTTGTGATCGATCGCCTTACCCAACATCATTACCGTACCTGAAGTCTGTTCGCGACAATGGCTGCGACTCAGACTCTCCCTGCTTCGGCCGCCGAGGCCTACGACTACATCGTCGTCGGTGGCGGCACTGCCGGTTGCGTCCTTGCTTCGCGACTCTCCAGCTACCTCCCCGAGCGCAAGATCCTCATCATCGAGGGTGGCCCATCCGACCTCGACCTCAGCAATGTCCTCAACCTCCGCGAGTGGCTGTCACTGCTCGGTGGTGAGCTGGACTACGACTACGGCACCACTGAGCAGTACAATGGCAATAGCCACATCCGTCACTCGCGCGCCAAGGTCCTCGGTGGCTGCTCCTCCCACAACACCCTCATCTCTTTTCGTCCTTTCCGCCATGACATGGACCGTTGGGTCTCCAAGGGCTGCAAGGGCTGGAACTTTGAGAACGTTGTCCGCCATGTCGACAACCTCCGCAACACCATCCAGCCGGTCCACGCCCGCCACCGCAACCAGCTTTGCAAGGACTGGGTCCTGTCTGCTTCCGAGGCCCTGGGCATCCCCGTCATCCCCGACTTCAATGCTGAGATCCGTGAGACCGGCCAGCTGAACCAGGGTGTTGGTTTCTTCTCCGTCTCCTACAATCCCGACAACGGCCAGCGCAGCAGTGCTTCCGTTGCCTACATCCACCCCATCCTCAAGGGCGAGGAGCGCCGCCCGAACCTGACTGTTCTCACTGAGGCCTGGGTCTCCAAGCTCCACGTCCAAAACGACGTCGCCTCTGGAATTGATGTCACCCTCAAGTCTGGCCAGAAGCTCACTCTCAAGGCCCGTAAGGAGGTCATCCTGAGCGCCGGCGCCGTTGATACTCCCCGCCTGCTTCTCCACTCCGGAATCGGTCCCCGCGACCAGCTCGAGTCTCTCGGCATCGAGGTCGTCAAGGATGTGCCTGGTGTCGGTGAGAACCTTCTCGACCACCCCGAGACCATCATCATGTGGGAGCTCAACAAGCCCGTGCCCGAGAACCAGACCACCATGGACTCTGACGGTGGTGTCTTCCTCCGCCGTGAGGCCTTCAACGCCGCTGGCAACGACGGCGATGCTGCTGACATCATGATGCACTGCTACCAGATTCCTTTCACCCTCAACACGGGCCGTCTGGGCTACCCCGAGATCGCCGACCGCTATGCCTTCTGCATGACTCCCAACATTCCTCGACCTCGCTCTCGTGGCCGCATCTACCTCACCTCTGCTGACCCCAACGTGAAGCCCGCTCTTGACTTCCGCTACTTCACCGACCCCGAGGGTTACGATGCCGCCACCTTTGTCGCTGGCATCAAGGCTGCCCGCAAGATCGCCGAGCAGGCTCCCTTCAAGGACTGGCTCAAGAAGGAGGTCGCCCCCGGTCTCAGCGTGAAGTCCGACGAGGACATCAGCGAGTACGCCCGCCGCGTCGCTCACACCGTCTACCACCCTGCCGGTACCACCAAGATGGGTGACCTCAAGCGCGACGGCTACGCTGTTGTGGATCACGAGCTCAAGGTCCGCGGCATTGGCAAGCTGCGCATTGCTGACGCCGGTGTCTTCCCTGACATGCCTTCCATCAACCCTATGGTGACTGTTCTTGCTATCGGTGAACGTGCTGCTGAGCTGATCGCCATGGAGGAGGGCTGGAAGCCCGACAACAACAAGCCCAGACTGTAAAAAGTCATCGCCATCCCGTTGCTGCGACATGAAGAACGTGTATACTGTTGTTGCTGAATTTTGCATAATTTCCTTTGTTTGGCCAATTCATTGAGACGACAAAAATGCTAGGCGTATGAGCTAACGATGTTATGGGACTGACTACATCACCTGTTTTTCATTGATTCAACCGAAGACTCCCCATGCTTTCCGTGGGGAAAGAGACTTGAAGCGAACCAATTTTGAATATGACATCTTATTTTGGATACCAAATGGAGGCATTCTGCTCCAACCGCGTGCTTTGTGATTATTGACGTGAGATGTCGTGCCTACCTTTTAAATTCTGCCCATGTGGTGATTCCGAGTCTGACCTACCCTATGGCACACTGGTCTGCTCACAACGTCTGACCAAGGCACACCAACCTGACGGGTGAGCACCTCCCCCACCTTCAAAAGGAGCGTCTGGTCCCGTATCCTCAATTGAAAGTGGCGGTCTCCTTTCCTGTCGAATCCCTCGCCTGTGATCGACTGGCTGCATCCTATTAACCCGAGCGAGACGGCAGAAATCCCAACGGGGCGCGATGACTGGTCGGATGAATGGGTGGCACAAGAGAAGGAAGAAAATCAGTCGAGGTTGCACCTCAGCTCATTAAGCTTGCCAAGAGATTTTCATAAAACCCACTAGGGCAAGCCAACAACCAGCGAGATGGGCCGGGACATGGAGATCTGCGCACAACACAATTTCCCAGGAAGCAGTTGCCGGACGAGTCGAAAATGCCAGTGCCGGATCAGGCGCAAGCGAAGGGACGCGGCTCCTAGGGCTAGAAGACGACGGCTCTGGCGCCAGGAGGGCTGGGCCAACTATGACATTGAGGTCGAGGATTGGCTGGGTGGATGATCCGTGGCGCGGTGTCAGGCGAGCACGTTTACTTCTGGCCGTGGAGAGTGTCTGGCCGAACCTCTTGCGATTGATCTAGCTGGGTGATTAGCGCCGGCACTTCGGGGCGGAGGGAGTGGAACCAAAGCACCACGAGAGACGGAGTTGAGGCCCGTGGAACCTCTGGACCCCTGGCCGTCTTGGCTCGCCGGCGCCTTCACCACCCACGCCGCGGCCTGCACCTGATGCACGCACACATATGCCGCTGCCTGTCCTCGTTTGATCTTCGGAATGTCGAAAGCGGCTTTCCTGCGCCTTGGCCGGCAGGGATGCGCGAGGGCTGAGTCTCAGATCCACATGACGCCCTCTGGTACCTCGGCCGCGCGCCTCTGCTCGTCTCCTGGCCACTCGTATTCTGCCATCTGCTGGACAGCATATGCCTCGTTCTCCCAGAGAGAGGACCCCTGTACGCTGCCCAGGTGGAACCAATAGTGACGGAACCATGGGCCATTCTTCCCTCTTCCCGATTTTGTCGACGCTCCCCCTATGTTTTGCCTAGACGGTCCGCTGAACCTGTCTTATGAAGGCCCCCACTCCCCGGGCCGAACTCTTATCAGCGCCTTTGCCTCTCCCCCAAACAAGGGAAAGGCACGCGGAGAAGCTTCAAGAGAGTAGGGTCTTGCGTGCTTTGGCCAGTGCTTTTGCTCACGGTTTTCCCAGACTTCGGTCCAGAGCACAGATCGGGCCGCCCGGGGCGGTGGGGAGCAGTAAAAATATGGCTGGATGGTAGCAGTTTTCCACGGTTTGAATGTGGTCCCGGAAGGGCATCTGTGCTCACTCTCGTCTGCCTGATCAGCCCTCACTACTACTGCTTTCTGTTTTTTTGCCATCTCTGATTTTTCTCTCTCTCTTATCTCTGTTTCATTGTTGTTTCTCCCGACGGATCATGAGATGGGACCGCCAGACTGAGCCGAACCCTGTTAAGAAGCCTGCACACGGTTCTTTTCTTTCGGCACTCCCTTCCTCTTGCTGCATGTTCTCTGAGGTTTAAGAATACGGACACTTGCTGCTCTTATTTGTCATTCGTCTCAAGTGACTACACGTGTGTGTTACATGCCGTGCCATTTTTTTTTTCTACTTTCCTCCTCTCTCCTTTGTGCCACCGTACGGCCAGCAATACCTTTTCTCTACTACAAAGACTGGTCGCCTCTCATTTGCCATTAATACTTGTCCATTATTTTAGAGGAGAGCTTCTAAAGGCATCTGGTATAAACCGTATCCATGGTTCGGGCAATTGAGCCGCCAAACGTTTACTTCCTTATTTCCCACAACATTACCAACAGGTCTTACTTGACACTTGGTTGAAGCAACCCCCCAACCAGCCAATAGGGAAAAGGCTCAACCATCCATCTATCCATCCATAACATCCCATCGTTCATGTTCACCTCTCTAGACTCATGGCGGTATTATCATCATCATCATCACCAGGCGACGGGGACGGCGGCTTCGAGGAGGAACTGTCGCGAGAGCTCGAGGCAGCCACCAGGGCCACGGCATCGCCAACGCTGCTGGACCGCGTCCGGGGCATGACGAGCGGGCTGGACGGCTCGTCGTCGGCATCGCCACGCTTCCGATCAACTTCGACGCCTCCCGTGGTAGCGCCGCCGACGCCAGAGCAGCGCCCCAAGTCGGCGCACGGGTACAGGAGCAAGGAGGAGGAAGGGCGACGGTACTCGCACAGGCTGCTGGAGCGGGTGAACCAGAGGATCAGCGGCGGGCGCAACAGCAGCGAGGCGGGCAGCAGCAGCGGCGGCGGCGACATGGCGACACCCGAGGGCAGGGCGGCGTCGCAGTCGCAGTCGCAGTCGCAGTCGCAGTCACCATCATCATCGTCGCACATCCTGAAGGGGGCGGGAGGGCGGCTGACCCAGGGGGGTCGCATCACCAAGAACCGCCACAGCCAGCGCGTGCCAGCGTCTGCGGGCAGGAAAACGACGGCCCTCGACAGCGGCTCTAGCCGTGGTGGTGGTGGCCTCGGTGGCACCACTACGACCGCTACGGGCAGCGCCGACAGCGCTAACGTCGACACCATGATGGGGGGCATGGACGTGGCTACGGGGGACGACACCACCACTAGCTCGTCCGCCGCGATGGCAGCCGCAACCCCAGAACTAGCTCCCGCGGCTGCTCTCGACCCCGCCTCATTTCCCTGCATTTCCTCCACCTCCACCTCCACAAGCTCGCTCGCCCTCGACAACTCCTCCTCCTCCTTGGGGGCGTCGTCCACCTCGCTGCCCCCTCAACTCGCCTCCCCCGGACCCGACTCCTCCGCCAACCGCCCCGACTACACCTCCCGGTCCGCCTCGTCGTCCTCGTCGCTCGCTCCCTCGTCCTACTCCGAGGCCAGCTCCAGGCCCGTCGTCTCCTCCACCGTGTCCGCCACCTCTATCCCTCAGTACGGCAACCTCGACTCCCACGATTTGCCGTCCAGCGCCACCTCCTCCAAGCCGAGCTTCCACGGCCACAGCCAGAGCCTTGGCAGCACCGCAGCCGCCGGCGCCGCCATGGCCCTCGACGACGACCCTGTCCTGACCTTCTGGGGACCCGACCCGGTGCCCCTCCCCACTCGGTTCGCCCGCATAAAGCAGCACCTGATAGCCGGCCACGAAGCCGCCATCGAGGCCTCGTGGGCGCGCCTGATCTACGCCCTGCGCGCAGAGGTCGAGCACATCGAGGGGCTCGGCGCGCATCTCATCCCCTCGATCGAGTTCTCTGATATACACAACCCGGCGCAGACGACCCGCTTCGGCCACGACCTGCGCCGCTATGGCGTTGGCGTCGTCAGGCGCGCCGTCCCGAAGCCCGACGCCGACGACATGGTCAACAGCACGCTGCGCTACCTCGAGAACCGTGGCGGGAAGCATGACCTGAAGCCTGTCGAGCAGGATCCCACCTGCTTCGACTTCTTCTGGACCCCCGCCCAGATCCGCGCACGTGCTCACCCTGCCGTCCTGACCGCCCAGCGATTCATGATGGGCCTGTGGGAGACGAGTCCGAATGTGAACCTTGTCACCAGGCTGCCCATCGCGTACGCTGATCGGCTGCGCATACACGGAACGGCTGGCGAGCAGATTCTGTTGCGCGACAGTAACCGGGATGGCGAGCCGGAAAAGCAGACGCTCGAGATCCCCCTTGCGACGTCAATGGAGCAGGCGCCGCAGTCAGCCGACGATTGGGTCATTGCGCTCCAGTCGTCGGCCGGCATCATCGCACAGGTCGACAACGGCTCTCTGGAACGATGGGAGCCCGACGGATATGGCCGGACTGGCACGTACAGTCGGGTCTTCCGTGGTGAGTGGGAATCGTACGATCCCTGGGAGTGCGCCAGCCGCGTATCCTCCACCATCGACCTCTACAACGGGTACGGCTCCTGTACCATCTTCCGCATGTTCCAGGCCGTCGTCGCCCTCTCCACCATTGAGCCAGGCATGATCCGCCTGCTCCCCTCCCCCAAGCTCGCCACTGCCTACTTCCTCCTCCGACCTTTCTTCTCCGCCAAGACCCCTATGCCCGAGGTCCGCACGGGGCCCGACTGGGACGCCTACCTGGACCCTTCCAACTGGAAGCTCGACCGTAGCCCAGACACCATCATCCACGGCGCCGTCCCCGGCCACGCCCAGCGCATCACCGAGCGCTGGCATCCCCATCTCTACCTCCGAAGCAGCATGATCACCCTCCCCACCCTCCAGCCGGGCGACTACATCTTCTGGCACCCGGACCTGGCGTACCACATCTCCAGCCACGCCAACCACGGCCTCCGAACGCCCGTCCACGGGCCAGACGACGTCCGCATGCTCGTGTACGTGCCCGCCGCGCCACTGACCCAGACAAACGCCCTCTACCTCGCCCGCCAGCGCAAGGCGTTCCACCGCGGCCACCCCGGTCCCGACTTTGACTCGAGCGGCCGCGGGTTCAACATCGAGGACCCGGCCACCAAGCCCGGCGAGAAGGAGATCGAGGAGGTCGGCGGCGCGGCCGGCCTGCAGGCCATGGGACTCGCCCCGTGGGATGCCTCGTCGCGGGACGGGACCCAGGTAAACGGGGACAAGGGGGTCCCCAAGGGCGAGGCGGAGATCGTAGAGCTGTCAAACGACATCCTCTTCCCCGACCGCCCCATGCCGGGTTTATAAATCGGGGTTGCATCTGGGATAATTCATAGCTGTTTTTTAAAAAAGGGAGTTTGCATGCGGCGTCTATGTTTACAAGGGTCGGGCTGGTTCTTCATACATTTTTTTTTCTATTATTTAAGATATCATCTTTCACGTACACTTGCATCGCATCAAGTTGAAGGAAGCGTCCGGTTTCTTAAACCTTGATACAATTCAACTTGCGTCATTCGGGGGGGGGGGGATTTGTTTTCCTTCATTTCACTCCTCTCTTTATACTTTAAACCTTTCTTTCACATGATTTGCATGTTTTCATAACGGGATTCATAGGGATTGAGTCGGTTCATTTGGGGGGGGGTGAGAAGTTCTGATATTGCTGTATATAATATATTTATCTGCGACAAACACCTTTCTTCCGATATATAGAGAGAAATGAGCAACACGAAGATAAAAAAAACATGGAAACAATCAGAATAAAAAGGAAATAAGAACGAAGAAAAAAAAAACAGATCATAATTCATGAGTGTCGTGCAGTCTATGCCTGCTGTAGAAAGGTGAGAATCTCGCCCAGGAGAGCCTCAGCGGTGGGCTCGTCTGCCAGGACGCTCTTTGCGCCGAAGGCGCCCACGTCTAATATCTCGCCACGGATGGCTGCTTCGATGTCTATTGCCGCCTGTGGTATAGCCAAATGTTAGTTGTCGGTTTTCTTTTGAGTATTGGGGTGGAGGTGAACTTACAGGGAAGGCATCCCGGACAGACACGTTGCCGAGCTGGCCATCGAATCTGCCCTCGACCTCAGCCGTGGAAGCGGGTTGGGCCATTTCCTCGACTGGATTAATGGTAGTGGCAGTGGCAGGATCATCTGCGGGTGTAGGGAGCGACAGGAAGTTAACGAATGAGTCCACCTTGACGCCGGTCCACGCTTCTATCTCCCACAGGCCGACTTGAGAGCGGCCTTGGGATGTTACTTCGATGATGCTGGTTTGTACCTTGGCAGCTAGTTGGACGATCGAGTCACTGGAATTGACTGCTACCTTGAGGGGCAACAGGTTCAATTGTGGGAAGATCTCGAGCGCAGAGTTTTCATCGTCGCGGTTGGCAAGGTACACGCCAAACATAACGAGTTGGCTGTTATGTGTCTCTGTCTGACGTGACGCCAGAGTTCGAGCATATGCGGCGAGGAAAAGGGATTGAACACTGACACCGGCCTGCGCGGCATGTTGTCGAAGCTGGGACACATCAGGTAGAGCGGACCGTCTCACAACAGAGGTTCTCTCAAGAGAGTAGATTGAAGCATCTGAGCTGTGTACCGATTTGCAATCTTGAAGGTAATCGGTCCAGAACTGCCTCCTCGAGTCTTTGTTGGCTTGTAAAGTTTGGGTTATAGCAAAATTAGACCACGCCGAGAGACCTTCGTCGTCTCTGGAAACGCCTGGTTCCTGGATATTTCTTGATAGCTTCTGCATAATAGCCGGTAAACTGACTCCGTCATACAGGGCATGATGGATC